AAAAAAAAAAAAAAAAAAAAAAAAAAAACTATACTCAGTATGTGATAAGGGTGAGCAGAGTAAAAAATCATGCGGTCAGCGTCAGTAGACGCTGGACAAGTACACAAATGTCAAACTCAAATACTTCAACATAGGAAAAACAGTCAATGATTTGTCAGAGCACCAGAAATCATAAAATCTTAAGCAACACCCCACCCGAAGTAGGAGTGAAATAGTGGACAACCCTGCTCACAGCTTGAAGTCCGCTGTCAGCGACGGTGGACGATACCGATCACAGCATGAAGTCTCTCATCTGTCTCCCGGAAGTCGACGTTTGTCGATGCACTCTGGTCCCACATCTCCAGCTCTTCATCCAGATAAAACTGCATCCGCACCAGCAATAAAATTGCAACAAAATCGTTCTCCGTATCTGTAATCAGCGGGCAAAGCCCCTGATCAGGTAGTAATACTGATATGAGTTAACTTTTTTTTTTTCTTTCAGAAATGTCCCCCTGCACTCTGGTCCATCATCTCCAGCTCTTCATCCAGATAAAACTGCATCTGCACCAGCAATGAAATCGTTCTCCGCATCTATAATCAGCGGGCAAAGCCCCTGATCAGGTAGTAATACTGATATGATAGTTAACTTTTTTTTTTTTTTTTTCAGAAATGCCCCCCTGCAGTGCTGGCGGTGCTGGTAGAAAGTTACTAGAAACAGGCACCACTAGCACCCGGGGAGAGGCCGAGGCCGCATCTGTTGGTAGGGAGCATCACCTGCTGGAAAACGGGTCCAGCGTCCCATATACAAAATGAATCAGGAAGATATTGTAAAAAATGACTGAGAAAACGCCTGCCTGCCAGCGTTGATTACTCTGGCATCCAGAGGATTAACTGTGCAAGCTATTGAGAAAAAGGAGAAAACCTCTTCGCCCTGTACCAGGCGTCAGATACCTGCTGCTGAGAACTAGCTCCTCCCTCCCCCAACTACCCCTACCCACCCTGTCCCAAACGTCTTCACCACCCCATCCCCCACTTTCAATCCCTGTTCCACACGATGACCTGAATGATGCCTGCTAGCCCGCTGGCGTGCAATGGTGCTTGCCTGGGCCACGTTATCACGGGCGCCATCATCGTCGTCGTCACCCTCATCCTCACAATCCTCCGCCTCCTCCCTGTCGCCACGCAGCTTGGATCTTTACTCCTGCATCCTCTTCTTTGCGTCCTCGCACAATTGCTCTGCTGTCAAGCCCCCGAACCCATCCCTCCAAGGCTTCTTCTTCGGGTCTTCCTTTCAACCGGCTTCTTCTCAAGCTTGTCCAACAGATGCTGGTTCCATCTGTTGTATACCAATGTGCTCAATTGTGCGACGGCAAGGCTGTTGCGCGGTTTGGAGTGAATCCTTTCGAAAAGACTCCAATTCCGCTCACAACCGGAAGCAGACGACCCCTGTCCAAGCAAACGGATTGCCTGGCGCTGCAGAAGACCCCTGTCCAAGCAAACGGATTGCCTGACGCAGCAAGTTCGGCAACTCAGTGCACCACTTTCTCCACCATCTGGTTGGTTGGCCGCTGTCCGCCTCTGCAAGTGCCCTCTCGCTTCTGAACTTGCTTGTCCCTTTAATCCAGCAATTCACCTCCTCGTTCAACTCCTTGTACTCCGTTGGTTTTGCCCAGGAGTACACCCACGTCCAAAAACCATCCATCACCTCAGGGTCCTTTTCCAATCTCGAGTCCCTGAACTCAGGATCACAAAACATTGCTGCGCAATGCAGCAGAGAAGTCATAGTGTTCCACCTCCGCATTATGATCTCCTCGAGCTCTTCCTTTTCTATTTTTGTGAAGCACTCCTCGCTGCGTAAGCTCTCCACAACCGCGTCCATGCCACCATAGATCTTGCTCATCGTCGGTCCAACTCCGTCGCTCAACTTCAACAGTTGAAGTAGTTTCTCGGACGTTTTCTGCACCTTCTCGACTCCTGCCCAAAAATCATTGTCGAGGATGGTCTCTGTCGCAGCAGCAAACAAATGCCGCTGCCCGGGAAGCACGATGCTATCCTTCCAGTCATTATCCGTAAAACACGTTCGCAGCGGCAGGTACAAGTCCTGCACGCTGTCCAGCATGATGAAATTCGTGGCGAACCGAGTCGCTCCTGGCCTTGCCAGAATTGCTCCCTGGGAATTGACGAGGAGCAAGTCCCGCACCCTCGTGTGGTTCATAAAAAACTTCACTACCTCCGCTGACTTCTTCAGAATGACGTCCACCCACCCGATCTTCCCAAACTGCTCGAGCATCAGGTCAATGCTGTGCGCTGTGCACGGCATTGAGAAAATGTGTTTGAACTCCGCCTCAACCATCCGCCCTGCAGCTGCACAGGTCGATGCATTGTCCATCACCACCCCCACCACTGCCTCCTCCCCGATCTCGCGGATAGCCGTGGACAAATGCCGAAGTATGCCTTCGCCCCCTTCTCTCGGCGCTCCATACAAACAGCCCGCCAAAAGACGACGCCTTTGGGGAAGGAGACCATCACATTTATGAATGGTCTTCCTCGCCGATCGGTCCACCCATCGAGTTGCAACATGCAACCGCTGACGGGTCATTCCTTGCGCAGTTGCTCCATCCTTTGGGACACCTGCTTCCGCGTGACAGCCACCCTTTTCGTTCGCACCTCGTCGAATTTGGCGTATTGGAAGGACTTCGGCGGGTTCATCAGTGCCTTCACCATGCGATCCCAATACATGCTCCGCATCATGTTGAAGGGCACACACTCAGCTGTCATCCAATCGTTGACTGTACGCTGGGTTTGCTCATTCGCAGTGATGATAGCGGCGCTGTCAACAATTTTCGTTTGCCTGGCGTGCGTTGTCGAGGACTTCGTGAGGGCAACAATGGTGACTGCATCCTCCGTGTCGATTTCATCCTCGCTTGAAGACAGATCGAGCTCAGCACCAGCTCCGGTAAGTGCACCTCCAAGCTCTGCAATGGCGGCATCTCTTCCCTGCTCCCTCCGTAACAATTTTTCCTTGTTGATTGTCCCTTTCAGACGTGCGACATTGCAGGCACCTTTCAGGAAATGATCCCTCAGGCGGGAGGCAGTCCCGGTTCTATTCTTGTTGCAGTACGTGCATCTCCACACCTTGTTTCCCTTATCAGCTGCCCCATATGCTTTCACAGTCTTGAAGTGTTTCACCGGTTGTGCTGCATGCTTAGTCATGATGCTGCGTCACATATGATGTTAAAAAACCAGTAGCCACTTGAGTCAGAGTCTGAAACTCAGAGTCATCCCTGTCCTCCCCCCCCCTACCCAGCCATTCACTCTCTATCGCCCTCCGTCCCTCAATCAGACTGGTTGATTGACTTACTGATAGATTGACTTACTGAATGAATGACTCACTGGTTGATTGACAACATTTATGACTTGTTGATACAAAGAAACAAAATCGGACAGCATTTTCACATCCCCTGTGGGATCAGAATTTCATAAGTTCATAAATAATTTTGTTCGGGGGCTGGGCAGCAACAAACGAACGCCCCCAAAAAATCGGACAGCATTTTGCCGCCCCCCATTGGGTCAGAATGTGAAACCTCCAAAATAATTCCGTAATGATTTCATAGGGGGGTTGGGCAGCAACAAACGAATGCCCCCAAAAAATCGGACAGCATTTTGTCACCCCCCATGGGGTCAAAATGTGAAACCTCCAAAATAATCCCGTAATGATTCCATAGGGGGGCTGGGCAGCAACAAACGAACGCCCCCAAAAAATCGGACAGCATTTTGCCAGCCCCCATGGGGTCAGAATGTGAAACCTCCAAAATAATTCCACAATCATTCCATACGGGGGCTGGGCATCAGCAAACGAGCGCCCCCAAAAAAAATCGGACAGCGTTTCACGAAACTTTCACCCTCCATTGAGATCACAAAGTCGAATAATCCAAAATTTTTCAATGCTCACCACCCACGTCAAACTCGGGCACGATTGATTGATTGATTGATGAATGGATGGATGGATGATGGATTGGTGGTTTGATCAATGATTATGATTGATTGATTGATTGATTGATTGATTGATCAATCAATCGACCAATCCATCAATCCATCAATCAATCGATTAATCAATCAACCAATCAATCAATCAATCTGCTGACCGAACCATCAATCAATAAATCTATCAATCAATCAATCAATCAATCAATCAATCAATCAATCAATCAATCAATCTCCACGAAGTCAAACCAATAGCCAACAAAATCGAGCCAATAGCACGGCTGGTAGTCCGCGAACTCAAGCCAATAGCCCTCAAAGTGGAGGATGATAGTACGCAAAGTCGAGCCAATAGTCCACAAAGTCGAGAATGACAATCAATCAGTCAACCGACCGAACCATCAATCAATCAATCAATCAATCAATCAATCTTCACGGAGTTAAGCCAATAGCCAACAAATCGAGCCAATAACACGGCTGGTAGTCCCCGAGGTCGAGCCAATAGTCCACAAAGTCGAGAACAATAGTCCACAAAGTCGAACCAATAGTCCAAAAGTCGAGAACGATAGTCATAGCAATTTGAGCCGCGCATAATCGATCGACAACACAGATCGTACGTAGGGAGGGAGAGACAAGAGTCGAAGATCGCAAGTAGGGAGGGAGAGATAGAATCCCTAGTTCGCAAGTAGGGAGAGAGAGACAGAGGAGAGAGAGAGAGAGAGAGAGAGAGAGAGAGAGAGAGAGAGAGAGAGAGAGAGAGAGAGAG